ATATTAAGGCTTTCGGTGAATATGGATGTAGGAACTGACCCAGGATAACCCAAAGCGGCCACCACTAAAACTCTGGTCAATGACACAAAGCGGCGATGCCTACTTGTCAGCTGAAATCACGTCTAGACTTACTTTGTTTTCCGGGAAATCTGGCAGCTAAATTTAAATTAGGGCAGGTCATGGAGATATATGCTGCCATCCAATAAATGCAACAAAACCTTAACACTTGGATGATAATTTGATTAGAGAGCTGTACTATTTTACACTTCTCGATGTCTTGGATAATAAAATACCCAAGACATAACAACTGAAGGAATTCCATAAATGTCAGTCCTGACAAAGAAGCAGGGTAGACGTTTATAATTTTTCTTAAATCGTGCCATTTTGTAACGTCGTAAAAAACTCAATAATGACTGAAAGCCATTAGTGACGTCATCAAGAGTACCTTAACCTAACTTTATTGCCACATGAATATGGCGATGGTAAGTATGCGCTAGAAAGCCGCACTGTTATTAAACACATGAAAAGTGACCGTGACGTATGAAAAAAAAGTCCACTGGGAAGTTTCCGGAGACAAGGCCTCGGTGACAGCGCTCTTTCGAGTATGGTCTACGCCAGTAGATGACCGGAGACTGTCATCACTGCAGCCGACCTTGTGCATCTCTCGATTTAATGGCCCTGGTCCCCATATGAAATGACATTGTCATAGCCGATGTGAGGACGCTGAATTACAATGCGTAGAACACGTTTTTTGGGAAGGAGTATTACAACAGATATTCCTATACCTGGCAAACTACTCCGATGCGAACACGGATAAAAATTAATAATGCGGGTAATTTACTGAGAATGCCGGTCCCCAAGCTACTCGATCCTCTAATGTCCAGATAAGCAAAGCAGGACTTATTTAATGGGGCCCGAAGTCACAGCAAGTCACTACAACTGTTGATTTAATTACTGTCAGCAGTAGTCCAGGAGAAACGGTATTCCTGATGGCTGGTGGCCTCCCCAAACAATAGAATGGTCAGATGGCTGCTGCCAGGGACGACACCAACTCAGAGCATCTTTAAGCTTCTGGACAGCTGTTTCTGGGATACGAGAACCAGTTCACTGATTATAGTGCCTGTTTTCACAGACCCCAAAGAAAACCTCAGTGACAAATTCTGTTATCTTTGTGACACGGGTTCTGACACATCTCACTCCTGTGCTGGCTTTCTAACGTCTTTCTTACATATCCAAGTGACAAAGAATGTTTTTAAAGTAGAATTTTAAATGATGTTTTTCTTTCAATCTCAAATGAAACTTCCGTGTCCATGCAAGTAGAATCCTCTCTCGAAATCTAGCTTGGGTTCCGGTGAATGATCTGAAAAATATCTCTGTCTAAATAGTGAATACACGTAGGACTCTTCCGAGTGATCATTGCCACAGCCTTTTCGGGAGATTCTGTGCCCGTTAATCAAACCTGAGTGTGACATCTATGTCAGAAATGACCATTAGAAAAAGGCTAGTTTCATAAAAATCGCCCTGGGAGGACAAGTTCTGTGCTGAGAAAAATTTTATGACCACTTTTAAAATTCTTTAAAGTGACCATTTTAAAGTGACCGTGAAAGTGACCACTTTTAAAATTTTTGAAGTGACCATTTTTCTCTTGTTACCTTAGTGAAGCCAGAAGTGAAAAAAGTAAATGAAATTTTCCTTGCACTTCAATTAAAAGTGAACGTTTTCTGATTCTGGGTAAGTACATTTCTATTTAATGTGAACCAGCCCCTTGTCAATTACTGACGCCATAAAATAGATAGAACTAAGTGTCCCAGGTGGCCTGTATGCATTTATAGGCATTGCATGTATATGATGGTTTCTTATTTTATGATCGTATAGAATAAAATACCAAAAATGTTATAATCTGAGGGTACAGGTAAAAAAATACGCTATGACTATATGCTGTACATTTAAACAAACTTGAGTCGAAAGACGCTGTTCAAGTATGGGAGGAAAAACGGTAAAAAACAGTCAGACGTCCACATGAACATAGCAGAGGTGACTTCAAAGTCAAGATTCTCATTGCCCGGGAGCCTATTAAGAAGACAGATACTAGCAATTCGAAGAACAATGTGTGTTTGTTTAAGGAAATACATCTAGCTATTCCGCTAAAGCAGTTTCAAGTTCACTAGGGGTCAAAAAAATCATATAATACAAAATCCACTCAGAACACCTTCCAACGCTGAGCAGCCTAAGGCAGAAGACACAGTAAAAATACGTGCCACACTCTCTGTAAGGAGTTTAAGGAAATAGATGTGGATTTTATCTTTATTTTCAACACAAATGAAGTTCTAGAGATAATACCATGTCACTGACAAGAGACCATGAAGAGCCTGAGCTAATACTAACCGTAGATAACGCAGCCTTTTATAACTAAAGGTGTCCGAAACCCCAGAGTCGAAATGAGAGCGCATTCGGAAAATCGTGCCACGATGTTCAATAACCGCGAACAGGAAAATGAAGCAAAAGGTTGAGCCGCACGATTTTGCGGGTGCGCTGAGCCCCGCGAACGACCGGACGATGGGGAGATCTCTGCTGTTCTGAGTGTGGAGACTTCACGCCTTCCGCAGAAGGCGACGCTCCCAGCAGATGCGTTCACGCGTGAGCGTTTCACTTGCGCGTGGGCCTGGAAAGCTTTTCCTCGGGATGCTGTTTCTGTTTTTATATGATTCCAAGAATAGAGATACTGGTCAAACAATATATTTTGACTTTCAAAGTTAATTTCTTAGTTTCCTCACGGGACAAATAAGCTAATGCTTTCACCCCAGCCAATATACATATTTGGATTGAATTTTATGTGTTCATTTTCCTAGAGATTAGATATCAAAATTATAAATAACATTTTGAAATTGCAGTGAAAACTCAAAGCGTCACCGGTTACTAAATTATTGCTTTTGCATGTTCGATTATTTTTCTGTTTCATATATTATATTAGTCATATACAACGAAATGCTTAAAACACTACCAAGCATATAGTAGAGTTCCAGAAATGTCAAATATTATTATTTTTCTATCATTTTTGGTATTAGTGTTAATTCATTTCCAGCTGTCTGTCCCATTTTCCATCTGGATGAAAGCGACGTTCTAATAATAAAATCATATAAAATTAGAATTTACATTTTTATAAGCATTTCTAATTTGGTGGGAGGTAGGCAGTCTCTAAAGTTTTGATAATATTTAAAGCCTAGTTAGATGTGGCACTTGCAAAAACAGTCACCTAATTAATCTATGTCGACAAGCTTGAATGCGTTTTCTACCGTTCTGCGGCAGGTTTAACCTTACGTGCCCTAAAGCACAACAGTGCACACTCTCCCTAACTTAACTCTAGCCTCACAGTACAGCAGGTGCTCATCCTCGGCTTAACTATAAACGCCCTGAACCTTCAATGCCAACTTGCCCTGACGCAGTGACTTTTCACCTACCTGCTCACCCCCTCCCCACCCGCCCTCCTCCTTTTGGCTGATTTCTATGATATTTAGGTTTAACAACATAGAATGCCAATTTCGACTTACTAAAATGAAAATTTAATGTGGCTCAGTCAATTAGACTGTCGAAAAAGCACAATTACACCAAATCTTGGTTTTGAGAAAGTTGCATTCTAGGCTGGTGAGGGAGGGCATGGCAGGTTAAAAATGGCTTCTTATGGCCATTTTTCTTATCTTATAAAAATCTCTGCATTCATGATGGGATTTTAAAAAGATATATCGATATTTACCTTAACGCCCATCTTATTTTGCTGAGAGACTAGTTGCTTCAAGTGTATCTTTTGTTCAATAAATACAAACCCACAGTATTTTTAACTGTAACATTCTTTGGGAAGTAAACGCCCGCAGAGCCGTGGGGCGGGGTCAGAGGCGATGCCACGGTGGTCGCGTAGGTCTAGATGTGAA